CAACTTAATATTCAGAAGTTTGCTGAAATATCAGCGGGATCTTAGAACGCGGTTAGGTTAGTTACGTTTAGAGAGCCTCGTAGGTAGTAACTTGTTATTATTCATTTTTAGTTTCTTATTTTTATTTTACCGCCGGGTCGGCGTAGTTTGTGAGCGCCAAATGCATGCATCTGTAACTTCTAAAGTAGAATAAAAAGGGAGTTAAACCCATCTTAAGAGTTTTGTGAACTTTCCAGTTCATAGCAGTCACTATTATTGTTGCGTGTAGGTTGGGGCCGCGCAACACCACAATATTTTTAATTGCATAATTTCTACATGCCATCTTACCAGATTTAAATTGATGGGATAAAGTGCAGAATCGCCCACTTATTTGTTTGACGCTTTTTACAAGAGTAAGAAGAACTGGATTTTTGTCAATTTTCTTTGACTTTTCGAGTGAAAATAGTTCGATGTGTACATGGATAAAGGGAGTGTGCAAAGCCACTTTTGTGCAATTCTGGGATTTTTTTTAAGTGAAAATAGGTTGATGTGTGGATACTGAATATATGCAAATCTTAAAAATGCACCAATCAGTGGATGATTTTGCACTTTCCCTAATTTATGATCTAATATCCAGAAACATCCCAAATTCAGAATCGCCGAAGTCCCGATGAGTCCGGATTTTGGACTTTGTACTGTATTGATTTAAATGAGCTCAGTTGATATGATTTCATAAGTCCGGTTAGTAATTAATAATAATACAGATGAAGAAATATATTTATTGCTTTTAATTCACTATGTCTACTAATTAATAACAGACACATTAAATATGGAAAAAAATTAATTATCTTAAGCTTTGCTGAATGGCAATACACTAGTGCATCGAAGAGAAAAATATTTTATTTCAGGCAGTAGCAACACTTTTTTTTTTTTTTTCAATTGCTGAGTTTAAATATGGAAAATTCTAACATTGATATCGCTCTTGTTCAGGAGCCTCACTCTTATAAATGCTCTCTTCCCAACTTGCCTTCCTCTTACCGGGTTTACTTTGATGCTAATAGTGATACCATTAAAGCTGCTATTATTGTACGAAATCAAATGCTGTCTACTCTGCTTGATATTAATAATCTTGATTATAATATGGTGTTTATTCATGTTATTCTCAATACTCAAGATTTTATCTTCTTTTTCCCCATTATTTTGAACCTAATAGAAATATCGACTTGGATTTGCATAAAATTAATGTAGCATTAGCTTCAAAAAATTGTAATAGATTTGATTTGGGCTATGGATGCCAACAGCAAATCTGAAATTTGGCATAGTCCAGTTTCAGATTCTCGAGGGGTTAAACTTTGTGAATTTTTAAGTATGAATAATTTGTTCGTTCTAAACGAAGACTGTGGTCCTACTTTCTGTAGTACTCAAGGTTCAAGCTATATTGACATTACGGTTGTGGGATTTGATCTTCTTGCAGATATTTTGTGTTGGTGTCAACCAGATTATGAATGCCTTTCTGATCACTGTGCGATTGAGTTTGAACTATCTGTAGCTTCTAATAACATTCTCTATGACAGAAAAAACAGCAAAATTGTCTTCAGTGTAAAGAAAGCTAACTGGAATATTTTTTTTAAATACATGTAAGCAGTCGATTGATGAGTTTTCGCAGTTTATTGAGTGCTGTACGGATAAGCATGCATTAAACTCTCGCCTAGAAAATTTTGTCTTGATTCTCTATAACGCATTTAAGGCTTCCATGCCTCTAAAAAAGTCAAGGGTTCATAACGTACCTTGACAGACTACTGAAATCGAATGTATGAGAAAACAGGTTAACGCTGCTAGACGTAGGTTTCAACGAAATCGTATTCTCCAAAATCAAAATTCTCCAAAATCTTCGATACTCTTAGAGAGTTATATAAACAAAAAAATCTTCACTTAAGGCATAGTTACAGTTTAAAGCTCCAGGATGCAAAGCTTAAGTCTTGGAGAGAATTCCTAATGAGTATAAATGAAAGGAATGTTTGGAAAAAAATATATACGAATGGTATAAAGAAAAATTTTATGAAAGGAATTGAAGTCAGTGGAATTTATCTCCCATCTGGTAATTGTACAAAGTCGCTTGAAGAAACTGCTAATGAGGTTCTTAACAGAAGCTTTCCCACGGACCATTTTAGCACAGATAATTCGTTTCATAGAATGATTAGGGCTGAAACTTTGTTAAATTATGTTGCTAATCCAGATCCTCCATTTACTATGTCAGAAATTAATAGTGTTATAGAAAAACTTAAATGCAATAAAGCTCCTGGTCTTGATTCTATTTGAAATGAAATTTTGAAGCAAGTTCATAGAATGTTTCCAAATTTATTCTCCAAAATCTTCAATACTTGTCTGAAGCTTGGTTCATTTCCTCGTTGCTGGAAAACAGGGAATGTCGTTTTAATCCCTAAGAATAGTGGTCCTCGTATCCCGCATTTAGATAACTTGAGATGCATTAGTCTTCTTCCCAGTTTAGGAAAATGCCTAGAAAAGCTGTTTGTTAATAGAATTACCTGGTTCTTGCATAATAAAAAACTGCTAAATAAAGCACAGTTTGGTTTTACCCCTCATAAGAGTTGTGAAGATGCTCTTTCGTACTTAAAAGAATAGTGGACGAAGGTAAGAAGAGAAATTTACACACAGGTTTAGTGTTTCTTGATATCAAATGTGCTTTTGACCATGCCTGGTGGCCTGGGATACTTGTTTTTTTAAGGAAAGCTGGTATTCCGTGTAATATTTATAACCTTATTAAAGATTTTCTGCATGACAGATCTGCATTGCTCTCCCTTGGCCACGTTTCTTCCTCCCGCATTTTGTAAAGAGGTTGCCCTCAAGGCTCGGTTTCCGGACCTTTATTGTGGAATTTAATTATGAATGATCTACTCAATAGACACTCACATTGTCCGAGTTGTAAAACAATTGCTTTTGCTGATGATCTACTAATTTGCTTTTAAGAGAAGTGTCCCATTACTCTCTTTAATACAGCTCAAAACACCCTTAATATTGTTTCCAATTGGTCCAGAGAACAGAAATTGGAATTCAATCCTAATAAATCTAAAATTATGATAATTAAAAGAAAGCATGTCAGCTATACAAACCAACAACTGTACTTCGATAATACCTTACTCGAAACGGTGAATGAAATTAAATATTTAGGCGTTATTCTTGATTATAAGTTTTGTTGGAAAAATCATATTATGTATTTATCCAATAAGTGTGAAAATATACTTAGAGGACTTAATCGTGTCTCTTGCAATACTTTTGGTTTAAAAATCTAATGTTATTGATATGATTTATAAGCAGGGTATTGTCCCCTTTATTTGCTATGCTTCTAGAGTGTGGGGAACAGCTTTAGAAAAGAAGATTAATTCCCGTATACTTCGCAGAATTCAAAGAAGAATTTTACTAAGAGTTGTGCGTGGCTACAGAACAATTAGCTATGAAGCCTGTTTCGCAATTTCAGGATTTCCTCCGATTGACCTTCATGTTTTGAATGACAAAAAGTTTAAAGATACCATCAGCAAATTTATGTTCGATACCAAGGTGTTGTTTGAAGATCTTCCTCATCCTGTCAATTGTTTGCCAATTCAAACTATCATTTATGGACAATTCTGTTGATGATAATTTCCCTGTTGTGTGTTATACAGATGGCAGTAAAATTAATAATCGAATTGGATTAGCTTATGTCGTTTTCCATAATGGTTCTGAACTGGAATACAAACTCTTTAGAATTCCCAATGAATGCAGTGTTTTCCAAGCCGAATTACTGTGCATTAGTGAGTTAGTTAAGTGGATATCTAACAACTGTTCGCTAAGTGCTAAATTTCTTATTTGCACTGATTCTCTTTCATCCTTATTTTCTCTTAGGAATATCTTCTCATATAATAAATTAATTGTGACTTCCCATGCTCTTCTTAAAGACCTTAATAATAAAGGTGTTGATGTTATCTTTTCTCATGTACGTGGCCACACTGGCAATCTAGGAAATGAAAGGGCCGATATTTTCCTTCCCTTCCTCACAGACTGAATAATAAACACTTTTTCTGCAATTTTGAAGTTACTCAATTTCTAACTGGACATGGTAAATTCAATTCATATCTGAAGAGATTTAGATTATCTAGTACAGACTTGTGTTCATGCAGTTTCGGGGGAGTGCAAAATGTCGAACATTTGTTGTTCTATTATTCAAAGCTCAAGGAAGGACAAAAGGAACTCATTTCTAGGTTAAACTCTGTGAATATTACATTTCCTCCCCCTCTTCATGTATTTGTCCAACATAAAATGGATTTCTCTTTCTTCTGTAAATTTATCTCTTACGTATCATCTGTGAATTTTTAAGTTTATTTTGTGTTGTGTTGTATTTTTTTTTTTTTTTTTTTTTTACTTACCTCTGTAAGCCTTGTGTAATACTATGTGGTGCACAAGGATTTAAAATTTCAAAAAAAAAAAAAAAAAAAAAAAAAAAAAAATTGCTGAGTTTGTTTATTAAATTTGAAAGACAAATATCTTAGCTAAATGGCAATAAATACTTAGCTAAAAAGCAATAAATTGCTTTTAAATCGCTAAATCTGTTAATCACAATATCATTAAATTCACACAAGAAATAAAAAACAAATTCAAATTTTGAGCTTCAAGGTGCAATGTACGGGTGAAGGACTATAAGTGTTCAAAATTTGCTGGTTTTAGGTGATGCTGTTTTTCCACAATGTGAGGAGTATATATACGTACATTGTGAGGAATACATATACATACAAATTCTTCATTATTTAACAATAAAGTGATACTTTGATCTTATCACATAACTAGGTTCCTCAGTATAATATTTAAAAACTTTAAATTTGTTAAAAGGAAAATAATTTTTAGGACAAGAATAACATTCACCCAGATTATTGATAATACGGATTTATCTTAAACGGCATATGATAAAAAAATATTATCATATCTAGATACAGAATTAAAAAGCATGGACAATGAAAAAATGAACTTACAATTTCACATATATTTAAAACACCCGAGGAACTACTTATGTAATGCGTATTCCATCCTAAAAGTTTTGTAGCTTGTTTTACTTCCATTGTCAATGTGAATAAGCAAAAGAGTCTAAAAATAAAATAAATGCAATTAATATATATAGTTGATAAAAAGATAAAATATTAATATTAAACATTTTAATATTTACTACTTTCAAAATCTTAAAAACAACCTTGTATTTAGCGTAAGTATAATGAAACACTCAATCGATTTCGAGGGCAGCTAAAGGTCCTTCCTCATCAGGAGAAAGAAATACCTAGAAAGAAGAAAATAAAGGAGAAGGAGTCTCAGAAACACGTGGTCCTTATCAGCACTGCACGTGGTTATAACTGGATTTTTAATCAGAGTTGCACTGGCCGCCTACTTTTACTGAGCCAGGCTATCTGATCAAGCATAAAGGACAAGAAAAAATTAGCAAAGTTAAAATAAGGAGTGAGGGGCAAATGCAACCTTCACACTCAAAATCTGAACTTCAAATAATGGAAAGCAACCACTGAACGGATTTTTATACCCTCTGGTAGTACCAAACGTGAGGAGGTAACGCCATCTATCGGCAAAAATAACTGAATTAAGATAGAATTTTAAAGGCATTAGGAAGGACTGGATTGGACATCAAATCATTAACTAAACCTGCTAAATCTTTGTGAATGTGAAAAGCCTCAAGAAAATCCAATTCACCTATGGAAGAAGCCTTTTGGATAATTTTTGCAGACCCAAAGTCAAAATTATGGTTAAATGTCCAACTATGATACGCTATTGAAGACTTGTTAATTTCGCCTTTTCTGATAAAAGTAGGCGGCCAGTGCAACTCTGATTAAAAATCCAGTTATAACCACATGCAGTGCTGATAAGGACCACGTGTTTCTGAGACTCCTTCTCCTTTATTTTCTTCTTTCTAGGTATTTCTTTCTCCTGATGAGGAGGGACCTTTAGCTGTCCTCGAAATTGATTGAGTGTTTCATTATACTTATGCTAAATACAAGGTTGTTTTCACAATTTTGATTGTCACATTAGCATGTTTCTCTTCTAGTCTATTTACTACTTTGTCAAAAAATAAAGAATGTTTGTACTTTCTGCAATTTTTTGTTTTGGCTATAAACATTTTCATCACCTAATTACTTATAGCTAAAATTCATATTTAAAAATGTTAACAATTGCTCTCTGCAGATAACATGAAAGTAACAGACTATGAAATCTCTTATCTGGATTGATATTCAAGTATTCACATTATTAACAGATAATGCCAATTAGTAACAACTCCAGCATTTTTGGCACTCTATACAACTAGTGTAGCCGAAGCCTTGTGTAAATTAAACATAGTTAGGATTCAAAGAATAGTTTATTTTTATTTCATTGTTGCTTAGGAGAATAACCTATACCCTTAAAAAACTATCTCCCAATCTAGAAAGCTCCTATGTGATCTATACTCGGAGTTGGCATTGATGCCAATAAAATTTTGTTCAATATTAAAAAAAAAAAAAAAAAAATTCTTCAAAGCCATTGACCCTCCAAGGATGATAAAATTCCACATAGAAGAATGGCTCTCTAATTCTTTTCAAGATACTAAGTGTGAGGGTCATTTTAAAATCAACTCATTCATGACATTCTGGAGACGAAATTTCAGGACCAAAAACATAATGTTCAGACGGTTAAATTATGAAAGCAGACACATCCAAGATTTTAATAAACTATATAATAAATTCCAAGCAAATATTTGACATTTTTTAAAAAATTTGTCAACAGACTACCACTGACAATATTCCAAAAGAATTTCTAAAACTAAGTTACTTCCATTAAAGCAGCATCCCTCAGAAGTTCTCTTTTTTTTTCTTTTTTAATATACTTCCTAAGTGACAGATTTGCCAGTTTTGTTTAACTTATTTCCTGGTGATAATTATTTTTCAGGTCACACAACCATATTGTTTAACTAATCTTCACTCCCACAATGGATTTTACAGCTTAGAATTTGCCAACTGATAACTATTATGTTTCCTGAAGAAAGGGACATTCGGAAGACATAATAGTAGTTGCTTGTTTAAGGGACATTCTTCACAAAGAAAGCCTGCATTTGAATAACCACTTCATGAAATTAATATCTCATGAAATTAATAACTCAAATCTAAAATGAACATACAACCTGCCTTTCTGTTAAAGAAACACGTGTAAAAAAATGCTTTGATAGATTACATATTCCTTTCATTATAGCTATAGAATTCCTTCACGTAAGTTATCAGGTACAGTGGAACCTAAAGATACGAGCACTTCTATATACGAGAAATTCGAGATACGAGGAAAGCATGAGCAAAAAATTCATCTCTAAATACAAGCAATGACTCGAGTAATGAGCAGTGAGAAAGGCTGTTAGTATACGTAGCATGTTTTCCGATCCGGCTCGACTGAGAGAATCCCTTCGTCAGTTCACTCAGTGTTCTTGTATCTACGTGTTTGTGAGTTATTTTTTACATTTAATTCTGAAAATAATTATTTCACAATGCCTTCCAAGAAGACTGTTGCCTCTGATAGTGCTGCAAAGAAAAAGAAGGAAGCCATGGCCGTTGAAATTAAGAAAAAAATCAAAGATAAACATAAGTGTGGTGTAAGAGTGATGGAATTGGCGAAGACTTGTGGCCATTCGACATTGACAGACTGCTTTACTCTGAAGATGGAAGAAAATAAAAGGCTTGATGTGGCCAAAGGAGTTACCGTAATTTTCAAGCACTGTCCAAATCTCCTGGAAGATGCTGAGAAGCTGTTGTTGGTATGGATTAACAAGAAGCAGTTAAAAGGCAATTCGGTATCAGAAGTTATCATTTGCACTAAGGCCAAGAATCTGTATTTGGACTTCTCCAAGAAACACCAGGTACGTCGACTGAAGATAAGATGGCAATGAGATTTTTGAGGATGCAGAATGGATTAACTGGATTTTCATTATTTTCAATGGGGGTTTCTAAATACAAGAAATTTGCTATATGAGTTCAATGCTGGAACAAATTAAACTTGTATCTCGAGGTTCCACTATACTGATATCTACTGAGTTCTAGCAGGCATGCTTCAAATGAATTGCAACACAATGGTTGATTGGAATAATTACATAAAAGAGGTGTTTGGTAATTCTTTGTTATCTCATTATAATATTAAAATTGATAAACAGTGCAAAATAGTGGAAATTGATGAAACAATTCACAAAATGAAAAAATAACATCAGCCATATTCTCTCCCTATCTCTATGCATAATAGGTTTTTGGAGAATTTTATTGTGAAGTTCAAGAATATTTTCTTAGTTACTAATTATTCTATTTTGTTTTACATTAGGCCAAAGGCATAAGAAAAGAAATACACTAATATGTCCCAGCATGGCGCTGAAAATACATGGCACAGCTTTAGTGGAAAAGTACCAGTCATTTAATGGATATTAAGAGAGAGATTTTTATATTTTTTTAATTTTACATTTTTCTTTTTTAAAGTTATACTTTTAAAACTAATTACATAGTTCAACTATATTAATTTTCCAGATTTCATTCATGGAATAAACAGGTTTTAAGGTTTAAAAACAACACATTTGGTAATAGATATTTAATATTATTCGTACTTCCTTATTATAGCGGCACCCAAAATTTAATCACTAATCGACCAAGATGTAACATATATTGGTACTTCCTTATTATAGTGGCCTCCAAAATTTATTCACTGAGCAACCAAGATGTAACATGTAGCAAGGTATAAGAACATGTGGCGAGATGTCTTGGTTGGTTAGTGATTAAATCTTGGGTGCTGCTATAGTAAGGAAGTAACACAGTATTTTAGTACTTATAGATGCATAATATTTTCCTTGTGTTATTTAAATAGAAAGCTTTAAAATTAAACTGATGTATATTTTATGTAATATGTATTTTAAAATAACATTATTGTTGAAAACTATTTGAACAAAAATAATACATTTAGGTGTATTTTATGAAAATAAATTTGATCAATGGTTATTTCAAAAATGTATTAGCATATATAACTCTACACTGATTAGACTGGTTAAATCGAGTTATACCGTATTGAATAAAAAAATGTAACACATGCGTATACATTTTAGTTACTGGAATCATATCTGAATGCATATTTACTTACATTAAAATTATGTATTCTCCTGTTATCGGGATTGGATTCTGTAATGTATGAATGCATCTGGTTCCAGTAGAAAAGTACCTAAAATTTACTAAATAATTATAATATGTAAATAAGTCCCACCAATGGGCAAGCAATTAAAGACTACTTAGTGGCAGCTTGTCTTGAGTGTTCAAACCCAAGAAAGGGGGCTGACTGTATGATTATTTTTCATGTTTTTGGCATGGTGGTAAGAAAGAAAGGAATGGCCAAACTGGCACTACAAGTGAAGCACTGCTCCGAGGCTTCGGTCTCCAAATGGAGTGATTCTTGTTTACATTCAGAAGTTCCTTTGACAGTATTTCAACACATGACAGTTCCGTACAAATCGAAAAATGGGACACTTGCGCATAAAAGGAACATTCATAGTGCGATGGATCATAGCAATTTGCATAGTTTAGTGACATTTATGCAAAAATCACATCTTGATTATTTTTCGATAACTAATAACAGCAATTTTGATTATGAATTTGTTTTATAAAATTCTAAGCTGTTGAATAACAAAAATATAGATTTTAGCAAAAACGTTATGCTAAAGAATGAAAAATACCTTATGGCACCTTTAAAATTGTACACGTCTTTCGATACCCTTGACAGAGTATTCGCTACTTTTATTTTATGTTCCAAACACCAAAATGTTTTAAATAAAATGAATTTTTTTGTCATCCACATATTATTGTAACGTACTTTTTAAAAGTTTTTAGAAGAGAGGCATTACAGTTGCTCATTTTAAACTCATCATTTTATTTTTATATAACTAAAAAATAATCACTTCGAATTTACGTGTTTTACTTATTTGGGTTAATTAAAAAAATTACCACCAAATGCTGCAATCCTCATCAAAATTAATAAATATACACACAGTTATGTGAATAAGTTAACTTTTCCTTGATTTGTAACACACATTTGTGTAAAAT